TTGCGCTGGACCTCCATCCCCGCAACACTTCCCTGGTGCGCTGTGGGGGCGGCAGTAGCTGCGCCGCCAGGGGTGTGGTAGAGGACAAATTCGGATGAGGATGAATCGGGGATCGCTGAGCCTTGTAGGTCTGGAGAGTGCATCGGCAGCCGCGGCCGTTTCACAGCGATCCCGAACGCTCAGAGAGCGATCTGGAACGCTCTGGAGCGATCGATCCTCATCCTAGACCTGACTGACTGGGTGCGTAGGTGCGTTCCAAGGGTTTTCACCCTTTCGCCGCTCGTGGGCGCCTCGTGTTTTTCTCCACCAGGACCGCAACCACCACCACGTGAGGAGTGATACCACCAGAGAAACCGAAACAAGGGAGTCCATCAACAATCCTGTCCCTGGACCGCTGGCGCCCCCCTTTCTCCCAGATGGGGCGAAGATGCGGACGAGGAGGGGACGGGGCGCGGAGGGGAGAGGAGCGAGAAGGAAGAAGGAAGAGGAGCAGGAAGGCAGGGGGCAGGATGGGGGGAGGAGAAACGCCTCGCGTGCTGCCTGGATGCCCCCAAAAAGGCTTCGCCAGGTCGCCGCCCGTGGGCGCCTCGCGGGCGCGCTGCTCGGAATGCCCCTGACGTCCGGCCCGGGCGCCGCCCGCCGTGGGCCCCACGCCGTCGACCAGATGGCACGCACAGCGCCGCCCGCACCGCACGCCCCGCACCACACGGCCCGCACGACACGCAGATGGCACCGCATGGCCTTGCAGCGTATAGCACGGGCCACGCAGCTGGCAGCACGCAGCGTGCAGTACGCAGCTCCCTCCACACGTCCTGCACGGTGTGGCCTGCGGCACCCAAGACTGTAGGACAGAACTTCCACTGTATAGGTTACGCCACGTTGCTTGCACATCCAGAGTGCAATTACTCACTGTTGGGGATACGCTGTCGAACATCTGTTCTGCGATCCTCCACGCCAGCGCAAGTGCCAATCTCCGCTGCTGCACCGAATACCGCCACACTGCGTCCCCGGCGGCACAGGCCGAAGCTGCCTCGACGATCTCGACGGTCCGCTTGCCGTTGCCCTCAAGCGCACCGTGTTTTTGCTCGCCGCCTCCTCCGTGCTCCTCATCATTATCATCCTCTCCTAGATCGGGTCCAAGACCGGGATACATCGCCCCAGAGCGTTCCGCAACGCCCTGAGACGGCCGCGACGCTTGATGCATCCCTCAGAACCGCCAGATCTCAGACATTCCCGATTTACCCCGATCCGACTTCGTCCTGGTCCTGCCTTCATGTTATATCCCCCTCGTGCAGCAAACAGCCTCGCATCGAAGGCCGCCAAAATCCTGCACTACCTCACCACCGCGAACGTTAATCTGTAGGTTCGGCTTCTCCCCACCCCCGCGGGGGGCACGCTCGAGCATAAACGTAGGCCGATCGGTAAAAAGTTGGCAGCGACATACAAGTAAGAAGGCACTCGAAACACACTGGGTGTCGTCCCGTCCCACCAAATCGCTCTGGCGAAGAGCCCAATCATTTGCAAATGCGTGGCGGGTATTAGCAGGAATGGTTATTGCACATGACTGCTGAGGGATATCAAAACGGTTCCGGAACCGATGCGAGGAGCTCAGACCGAACCAGGCCGAACCAAACCAGTGCGACCCGTTGCTTCCCAACCAACCTGTTTACTAGGCCCTCGTTTTGCAGAGAGAGAGAGAGAGACAGAGAGAGCACGCCGCGTCAATCACTCCCTCCTCCTCCACCTCCTCCCTACTCACATTCTTTGCACCTCGTGCACGTTTCGTGGCCCCATACGGAAGCTCCGCCGAAGGCCCCAGTGGCAGAGTCCGAGCACTGTGCCAAGGTATTCCCACATCTGCAAGAATGGAAGACACAGGCAAACATTTCGATTCAGGTCTAAATTGTACTGGGATGCTGCTCAGTAAGAGGTCCCATGCTACGTCTCGGTGGTCGGAACGCGTGGACATGGCTAGAAGTGTCCGTTAAGCGCATGTACAATGATAGGTCTGCTGATGTAGAGGAGCGCCCGACTGGGGGAGAGGGGAGAGCGCGATATGAATGCAAAACGCTGCGAAAAGTACGCAAGTGTCTCTGAGGTGATGGCGCCAGTCTTCCATTCTGGATGTTGGCGCACGGGCTTACATATAGCGAGAGGGAAGTTAGTAATCACTCCCCCCGGGGCCGTCGATGCGTAGATTCACGCAAAGACGGACGTCAGCATTTTAGCTAACGCTTGGCGTCCTGGGCAGGCTGTCTGGGGCGCAAAACTTAATAACGCAAGGAGAGCGTTCAGCTGTTTCGGCAGGTCCTGTGGATGTTGGCCTTCATTCCACCCCAGGGCACCTTGGCCCTCGCGGCGCCAACCCTAAAACAGTTTTACGGCGCCAGTGGAAGGGACGGAGGTACTCCCAAAATTGTCCATAGGACTGGCCGAAACCGAATAACGCACTCCTCACCTGTAAGCATACCTTTACGCCGCGCCCGCCTTCCAGAACGCTGCCCACACAGCGACAAGGCGTCCTCCCTTAATCACTTGGACGCTCGTCACATAGTGACGGCACGCCCCCTTAACGCCACGAATCACGCCAATCATCATCATAGCTCCAACGGCTGCCCCAGCCCGGCCAGTCCCACCAGCGGCCAGAGCCTCACCGTGAGCCGCCCCATGATGACCATGAAGCATCACCCTCCTTCCGCCGAAGGCCCCAATGGCAGGGTTTGCATGCGGTTCAAACTCCAAGTCGGCACACCATCACACGTTTCGTGGCTCTATATGGAGCTCCACCGAAGACGATACTCATAACTGCGGCACTCACAACTGCACATGGTTGGGTCCTTCGCCAGACTGATCTTCTCAACGCGAACCGAGCTGAACCGAACCGCAATCGAACCGACCCGAACCGAACCGGCTTCGCATTTGATCCTGAACTGGGCCGAACCTCCTTCCCGAACCGGATTGAACCAGACCAAACCGGACAATAATGAGTACGACGAATGCAACGAGTGCGACGAGCACGACGAGTACCACGAATACGACGAGTGCGAGGACGCGTATGACGAGTGCGACGACGCATACGACATGTTCAGGGGTATTGCATATCATATGCAATGCCCCTGAACGCTTCGCCAAGAGATAGAAAACTCTACTCCAAGCCGCCCAATTTACGCATGCACTCTCACGACAAAAATCGGACACGGACACGCGACGACGAATGCGCCCACAAAACCTGTGAGGGGTGTACTAAAATGAACCCGAATACGCAGAAGAACCCTGCCGCTGGGGCCTTCAGTGGAGCTCCCTATGAGGCCACGAAGCGTGTGAGGGATGTGCCAAAATGAACCCGAGTATGCATGCGAACCCTGCCACTGGAGCCTTCGGTTGAACTCCCTATGGGGCCACGCCTGTGAGAGGTGTCCCAAAAAGGACCCGATTACGCATGCGATCCCTGTCTCTGGGGCCCTTGGTGCAGCTCCGAACCCTGCCGCTGAGCCCTTTTGTGGAGCTCCCTTTTGGGCCGCGAAACGGGTGAGGGGTTTGCCGAAATGGACCCGAGTACGCATGCGAACCCTGCCACTGGAGCCTTCGGTGGAGCTCCCTCTGGGGCCGCGAAACGTGTGAGGGGTGTACCGAAATGGACCCGACCCGAGTACGCATGTGAACGCTGCCACTGGAGCCTTCGGTGGAGCTCCCTATGGGGCAGCGAAGCGTGCGACGGGTGCGCCTTTTGAGATGATGATGATGATGATGATGATGATGATGATGATGATGATGGTGATGATGGTGATGATGGTGATGATGGTGATGATGATGCTGTTGCTGCTGCTGTTGATGATGATTATGATGACGATGATGGTGGTGGTGGTGGTGATGGTGATGTTGATGTTGAGGGCGACGATGCCGAGTATGATGATTATGGCGATGAAGATGAAGATGATGAGGATGATGATGATGATGATGATGATGATGATGATGATGATGATGGTGGTGATGATGATGGTGACGATGATGTTGAGAATGGTGATGATACTGGTGATGATGCCGATAATGGTGATGATGGTGGTGATGATGGTGATGATGATGATGCTGTTGCTACTGCTGATGAGGACGATAGCGATGACGATGACCATAACGATGACGACGATGATGATGACGATGATGATGCTGATGATGATGATGATGATGATGGTGATGGTGATGATGATGATGATGATGATGATGATGATGATGATGATGATGATCGCACGTAGCTTGAGTGGCGGTGACTCAGCTACTGCTGCATGCTCTATCGACGCATTGCGGCGAGAGCGGCAGCTCGTACTTCGTAATGGTAGGATGGCGTCGCCGATCTCCTTGGGTGGGAGGCCAGGTCAGCCTTCAGTTTATGATGAGCTGTGGTGGTGCTCAGGCGCACAGGCAACTCACGCGCTGCGGGGAGCGCGGGGCCAGACACGCGGTGAGCGGATGTGTATTCGTGCGTGCTCTGAAATGCAGGAAACGCGGGGATGGGAGGCAGAGACAAGGGCGACAAGCGGGAAGAGGCGAGCGGGGCAGGAGGCACATTGCTACAAAAGCGGGCGGGGGCCTCAGACGCCACTCCGAGCGGCGAGAATCCACGATCACCATGCTGGCGCTCAGCAGCACGTTGCAACAGAACATCGACACAGCACGCAAGATTCGTACTGCAGCCACGTAGTTGCAGAAGGTCCGAGCGGCGAAGGAACGGCATGCCAGGAGCTGGCCAGTCATGCAGGGCGTCGTCGGGATGGTCACGACGATCCGCGTCGGCCACTCCAAGCGGCGGGACGGCACGCGCATCAGCATGCAGAGCTTCTTCGGGAATGGCTTGACGAGCAGCAAAAGCCACACGAGGCGGCAAAGCGGCACGAGCATCATCATGCGCCACTCCGTGGGGATGGTCGGGGCGAGCCGCAGCAGCCACTCCAGGCGGCGGGACGGCACGTGCAGCAACATGCAGAGCTTCTTCGTGGTTGTCGTGGTGTGCAGCGCTAGCCACTCCAGGCGGCGGAACGGCACGAGCAGGAAGCAGAGCTGCTTCGGGATGGTCGAGACGAGCCACGTCAGCCACTCCAGGCGGCAGGACGGCACGAGCCACATCATGCAGCTCTTCTGGGGGACGGACGGGACGAGCAGCGACAACCACTCCTGGCTGTGGGGCGGCACGAGCAACATCATGCAGAGTCTCCTGTGGATAGTCAGGCTCTCCAGTCCCAGCAACCTTGGATGTCCTGGAGTGGGTGGAACTCGGAGGGCCCGTCATAGGGCATTCCGTGTTGCACTCTGGGCCTGTGGACGGCGCCCCGACGGACTGGTCGCTCTCCGTGGACAGGGTAGTCTCGAACACGAGGTCGTACCACGCGTCGAAGCAGCGGATGAAGGGCCTGTTCTGGAGGAGCGTCTTACGCCGTGCTACGCGCTGCCATTCGCGTACAAGGGGGCGTAGGGCAGCAAGAGCCACACCGACAGCACGGGGACGGGATTCAGCAGCGGCAGCTTCATGCAGAGCACTATCAGGGGCGCCGTCTCCAGCGTCGTCAGCAGGAGCGTCTCCAGCACCAGCAGGGAGAGCGTCGAGAAGTAGGTCATGCAGGCCACCAGCAGGTCGGCGGACTTCGGATCGTTGAACGGGTCGGGAATGCAGAACACCATCAGCGCCGGCGGTTGTGTCAGCGCGAGCGTCATGAGCGGGAACAGCTTGCAGGAGGTCAGGAAGGCCATCCTCCGGGCGGCGGACTTCGGATTCATGAACGGGTTGCACATGCAGAAGAACGGAATGGTGTCGCGGAGGATGGCGGCCCTCGGCGGCAGCAGCCCGAGCAGGGTCATCATGGGCTGGTGCGTCATCTGCCTCTTCGCGTCGGTGAGGCCAAACTTCAGGACCATGGGCAACGTCAGGAGGACGCCCGCGAATCAGCTGCAAGAAGTTCGCGACCAGCGGCAGCTCGTTGCCCCTGCAAGTGCCCAGCGGAGTAATCACCCGCGAGGCGGCTGGAGGCGCAGCAACGTGTGGAAGGAGAACGTGTAGTTGAAGAGTCTGGCGCTTGCCAACGCGTGCTGGGCCGCGACCGCCTTGCAGAGCTTGGCATGCGCGGCGATGCAGAGCGTCAGCACTCCTGCGGTGCGGCATGACGAGCAGCGTCAGCAGCAGAGGCAGCAGGCGCCATCGCGTGGACATACGGATCCGACGGCCACAAACGCTGGCGGCGCGGCGCACGGCCAGGGGGCCTTGGGCGAAATAGCTGTGGAACTCATTTCGGCCCAAGCCCGAGATCCCACGGAGGGGACGGACTTGAGCCAAAATGGCTACGGATGATGATGATGATGATGATGATGATGATGGTGTTGATGATGGTTAGGATGGTGGTGGTGGTCGTGATGATGATTGTGACGGTGACGATGGTGATGTTGATGGCGGTGGTGGGAAGAGGGGAAATAAAGATGAAGTGGAGGGAGGAGTGAGGAGGAAGAGGTGAGGAGGAGAGGAGGAGACGGAGACGCGCGGCGCTGCGAACTCAAACACGAGGACCCCAAACACAGGATGGTTAGGAGAAGGACAAAAGGAAGCTCCTTCAACGGTAGGCGGTTCAGTTATCCGTGGTCTGGAGATCCACAAATTCTTCCAGGGAGAGAAGGCATGTGTTCTGGAACCATGGGTCATGATGGTGACTGCTTCTGCACGTGAAGACCTAGAATGCACTTACCCCTCACTGCCTCCCCGACTGCATTCATTGGGGGCGCTCGAGTTCTGAGGTTCCCGATCAACCGCCCGATCAAGCATCCGAGCATTCGGAGACCACCTGAGACGTCGGACTCCAGACGCGTGCAAAAAATCTCCAGTTACCCCCGTGGACAGGATGCTCCTTTTACTCAACCTCCTCCTCCTCCTCCTCCTCCTCCTCCTCCTGCTTCGACATGCCATAGCATAATAAGCCCCCAACCCGATCGAAACGGGGAGCAGCAACACCGAGTATATGCAGCCACGGGGTGTGCCCCCAAAGAAATCACATTGAACAACAGCGAGCGTCCTGACCGCAGTCAAGCCCAAGGACGTGCCAGAGGCAGAGGCCAATGCCTGGCCAAACTGGCAAGCAAAGGAAGGTGCGACGAGAGCTCCCGAAGTGAGTCTCAAACGTGGACATCACGGGGACGACGACGACGACAACGATGACGACGATCATCGTGCGAACATGTGATCGATCAAGCTGCTTTGACCTTTCCTTGTTTCTCCCTGTCCCTTGTTCCCGCCCACTAACTCTGCAAACTAACACCCTTCTTGGAGGGCTTCCTTTCCAGCTAGCACCTGGGAGAAGCATTCAGAAATACATTCTCTGTGTGCACTGCGCCGCCATGGCCGTCATGCAAGCTAACGCGCTCGCGGGCAGCTCACCACCTTGAGTGAATTGCAAGGAAGTCTTGGTAGAGAGCGACGTTCCCCAGCTCGGGGGACCTTAGGGGGTCTCAGAATCAGCTTTGAGGATTTATCTGGCGGGATCCGTTGTCGTCTTAGCGGGGCCCTCACAAAACTTCATAAAGTGCGCAGACGTTTCGAGCAAGAGCGCCGTTCCTGAGTGTAATAATGCGTATGACTAGGGCGTCCCGGGTAGATCGCGATGAAGTACAGAGCGGGAGACGTTGTCGTCGTGTTGGGCCTTCACCAACGTGCATAGATTGCGAGGAAATTTCAAGCCATAGCACCGTTTCTGAATAGGGGAGCCTCTCTGGCCAAGGCGTCATTGGGCAAATTGCGAGGAAGTGCCGAGCGGGAGCCGCTGTCGTCGTATCTGAGCCTTCACCAACCTGAGTGGATTGCAAGGAATTCTCGAGACAGAGCGCCGCTCCTGACTTCGGGGGCCTCTCTGGCCACGGCGTCCTGGGGCAAAACACTGCGAGGGAGTACCGAGCGGGAACGCCGCTTTCAGAGAATGGAGCCGGCGTCGAGGCGAGAGCGCCCGGAACCGTTTCCAAAGAACAGCCACACTTCTTCTCTAGAAACGAAGATTCGACGACGATGGCGACGACGACGACGAACCACCACAAGTTACCGACGACGGCGACGACGACGATGGCACCGACGATGAGGCCGACGACCTCGTCGTCGTCGACGGACGACGCCGACGACGACTACGACCCGCGAGAGGGAGGCGCCTCCGCGGCGCGGAGCTCCTGGGAGATGCGGGCCACCTCGGCGGCCTGCGGTCGGCCGCTGCTGTCGGCGTCGTCGTCGTCGTCGTCGTCGTCGTCGTTGGCGCGCCGTCGTGGTCGCAGTCGTCGTCGTGGTCACCGTCGGAGGCGTTTCGCTACAGCCACGGCGCTGCCAGAAGGAAAGCTAAATAAGGAACGAAGCCGCTTTTTCCCAACCGTCCTGTTGTATTGGGTCCTCGTTTTGAAGAGACAGCGCCCCGCGTCTCACCTCCTCCCGCTGCCCCCTCCCTCCTCCCCCTCATCCCTCCTCCCATTCCTGCTTCTGCTCGCCGCATGTCCACCATGTCGGCACAGCCCTCACGAGGACTCCACCGAAGACACCAGCGGCAGGGTTTGCATGCGTCCCCCCGCAGATTTCGGCACACCTCTTACGAGGATCGTGGCCACATAGGGAGCTCCACCGAAGGCCCCAGCGGCAGGGTTTGCATGCGTGCCCCGCCCATTTTTGCACACCCCTCACAAGGATCGTGGCCCCATAGGGAGCTCCACCGAAGGCACCAGCGGCAGGGCTTGCATGCATCCACACCCCATCACGAGGATCGCGGCCCCATAGGGAGCTCCACCGAAGGCCCCAGCGGCAGGGTTTGCATGCGTCCGCCCGCTGATTTCTGCACACCCCTCACGAGGATCGTGGCCCCATAGGGAGCTCCACTGAATGCCCCATCGGCAAGGTTTGTATGTGTCCCCCCGCCCATTTCGGCACACCTCTTACGAGGATCGCGGCCCCATAGGGAGCTCAACCGAAGCGGCAGGGTTTGCATGCGTCCCCCCGCTGACTTCTGCACACCCCTTACGAGGATCGTGGCCCCATGGGGAGCTCCACCGAAGGACCCAGCGGCAGGGTTTGCATACGTACCCCCGCCCACTTCGGCACACCCCTCACGAGGATCGCGGCCCCATAGAGAGCTCCTCCGAAGGCACCAACGGCAGGGTTTGTATGCGTCCTCCCGCCCATTTCGGCACACCCATCACGAGGATCGCGTCCCCATGGGGAGCTCCTCCGAAGGCCCCGGCGGCAGGGTTTGCATGCGTCCCCCCGCAGATTTCGGCACACCCCTCCTCAGGATCGTGGCCCCATAGGGAGCTCCACCGAAGGCCCCAGCGGCAGGGTTTGAATGCCCCCGCCCATTTCGGCACACCCCTCACGAGGATCGCGGCCCCATGGGGAGCTCCTCGAAAAGCCCCAGCGGCAGGGTTTGCAGGCGTCCCCCCGCCCATTTCGGCACACCCCTCACGAGGATCGTGGCCCCATAGAGAGCTCCACCGAAGGCCCCAGCGGCAGGGTTTGCAGGCGTCCCCCCGCCCATTTCGGCACACCCCTCACGAGGATCGTGGCCCTTATAGGGAGTTCCATCGAAGGCCCCAGCGGCAGGGTTTGCAGGCGTCCCCCCGCCCATTTCGGCACACCCATCACGAGGATCGTGGCCCTTATAGAGAGCTCCACCGAAGGCCCCAGCGGCAGGTTTGCAGGCGTCCCCCCCGCCCATTTCGGCACACCCTCACGAGGATCGTGGCCCTTATAGGGAGCTCCACCGAAGGCCCCAGCGGCAGGGTTTGCATGCGTCCCCCCGCCCATCTCGGCACACCCATCACGAGGATCGTGGCCCTTATAGAGAGCTCCACCGAAGGCCCCAGCGGCAAGGTTTGCAGGCGTCCCCCCGCCCATTTCGGCACACCCCTCACGAGGATCGTGGCCCTTATAGGGAGTTCCATCGAAGGCCCCAGCGGCAGGGTTTGCAGGCGTCCCCCCGCCCATTTCGGCACACCCATCACGAGGATCGCGGCCCCATGGGGAGCTCCTCCGAAGGCCCCAGCGGCAGGGTTTGAATGCGTCCCCCCGCCCATCTCGGCACACCCCTCACGAGGATCGTGGCCCTTATAGGGAGCTCCACCGAAAGCCCCAGCGGCAGTGTTTGCAGGCGTCCCCCCGCCCATTTCGGCACACCCCTCACGAGGATCGTGGCCCTTATAGGGAGTTCCATCGAAGGCCCCAGCGGCAGGGTTTGCAGGCGTGCGTCCCCCCGCCCATCTCGGCACACCCCTCACGAGGATCGTGGCCCTTATAGAGAGCTCCACCGAAAGCCCCAGCGCAGGGTTTGCAGGCCGTCCCACCGCACCATTTCGGCACACCCCTCCCCCCCACGAGGATCGTGGCCCTTATAGAGAGCTCCACCGAAGGCCCCAGCGGCAGGGTTTGCAGGCGTCCCCCCGCCCATTTCGGCACACCCCTCACGAGGATCGCTGCGGCCAATGGACGAGACCCCCGAGGCCCCAGCGCAGGGTCGTAGGCCCTTATCCGACCCCCCGCCCAACCGCCCTCACGATGATCGTGCCCTTAATCAGCTCCCCCGAAGCCCCAGCGGCAGTGTTTGCAGGCGTCACCACCCCGCCCATTTTCGGCACACCCCTCACGAGGATCGTGGCCTTATAGGGAAGTTGCCATCAGCCCCAGCGGCAGGGGTTGCAGGCGTCCCCCCGCCCATTTCGGCACACCCATCACGAGGACCGTGGCCCCAGCACGCTCCACCGAAGGCCCCAGCGGCAGGGTTTGCAGGCGTCCCCCCGCCCATTTCGGCACACCCCTCACGAGGATCGCGGCCCCATAGAGAGCTCCACCGAAGGCCCCAGCGGCAGGGTTTGCATGCGTACCCCCGCCCATTTCGGCACACCCCTCACGAGGACCGTGGCCCCATAGAGAGCTCCACCGAAGGCCCCAGCGGCAGGGTTTGCAGGCGTCCCCCCGCCCATTTCGGCACACCCCTCACGAGGACCGTGGCCCCATAGAGAGCTCCACCGAAGGCCCCAGCGGCAGGGTTTGCAGGCGTCCCCCCGCCCATTTCGGCACACCCCTCACGAGGATCGCGGCCCTTATAGAGAGCTCCACCGAAGGCCCCAGCGGCAGGGTTTGCAGGCGTCCCCCCGCCCATTTCGGCACACCCCTCACGAGGACCGTGCCCCCCTAGGGGGGTCCACGGAGAGCGGCACCCGCAACGCGGTACTCACAGCTGCATGCTGTATGGCTAAGTCCTTCGCCAGGATAATTTCTGAATCAACCATCCATTTCTAAGGAACGGCCGCTCTCCTTTCTGGAGGCGTTCCCTCGCCGCTGCCCGTCGTTTTGAAACTGATCCCTGCCTTTGTCGAAACCTGAGGAACGGGCTTCCTGACAAAATTGCGAGGGAACGCGAGCAGACCCAAGAAACCACCGAGCCTTTTTTCCGAACCCGAACTGGCCTTTTATTTCAACGCCATGAATGTACTTCTGGAATGCAGGGGCCTTTTCCGGGCTCCAGGAGCGTCTAGCATCTATCCTGGATGACGAACCAGCCAGGACGGACACAGGGAAGGGTCCGTCGACTGAATTTGATCGGATGTTTGTCGGATCGTCGTCGTCGCACTCACGCGGGCGGGGAGAGGAGGAAGAGAAGGAGGGGGAGGAGGAGGAGGAGGAGGAGGAGGAGGAGGAGGAGGAGGAGGGAGGAGGAGGAGGAGGAGGAGGAGAGGAGGAGAGGAGGGAGGAGAGAGGAGGAGGAGGAGGAGGAGGAGGAGGAGGAGTGGGAGGAGGGGAAGTTGGAGGAGGACCAGAATACACCCAGGATGCATCAAGGATGCCGCAGCACACCCTGCCGTCCAAACGCCCCTCCCCATAAATAATCGCAACCGAATTTCTCTACGCTGCGGGAAGTGCCCCCATGAAAAACGAGCGGCCAATGAGCCTGTAATTCAAGACGAAGTCCGACCTTGAAAACGAACCACCCTCTTTCCTCCGGGCGATCAAGAGCACAATGACTTAGGATCATGAGATCGACAGGCATGTCCAACAAGATCCCCGTTTTGAAAAAGAGCCGCCGTCCATCCGTGCAGCGTTGGCACGTGCTTGCAAGCCTGGTGGTAAAGGCAAGGGGCATCTCAAGCGAGAACCCATGTTTAACATGATCCACCCTCCGTCCGTGCGTGTGGCTGCTGCGAACGCCCAGCCATAACAATTGAGGAAGTGCCATGCGAAAACCTCATGTTGAAAAAGAAACGCCTCCCATCAGTGCAAGAGCTCCTACCATGTATATGCGAAGCTCTACTGCAAGGCCGAATTTCTGAAACACAAGAAAAATAGGTCCGGCCTCAATCCTTGCAACTCTCGAAAACGTTTGAGGCGGATGTCCAGCCGCTGCGGCAGAGGCCCCATTTTGAAAAAACGACCACCCGCTGGGGTGAACGCTTAGCTTCAAGATCACAGAAAGATCAACGGCTCTCAGGCGAGCGCGCCCTACCGACACGTCTGGTCACGCCACAGGGAGGAGTTATATTGATAGGAAGAGTGGGCGATTAGAAAGGAGGGAGGAAGGGGGAGGAGGGGGAGGAGGAGGAGGGGGAGGGGGAGGAGGGTGAGGAGGGCGAGGAGGAGGGTGAGGAGGAGGGTGAGGAGGAGGAGGAGGAGGAGGGGGAGGAGGAGGAGGAGGAGGAGGAGGAGGAGGAGGAGGAGGAGGAGGGTGATGATGAGGAGGAGGAGGAGGAGGAAGAGGAGGAGGAGGAGGAGGATCGAGGAGTAACAGGAAGACGAGGAGGAGGCGCGCACAAGCCCTCGGCGCGAGCGGTTCGCAAGCGACGCGGCACAGAAGAAGGACTACGCACGCGCTGTCGTCTGACAGTGGACGCAGCCGTGCACGGCGCGGCGCGGCGTGAAAGTCAACGCCAACCGCGATCAATGTCATGTGGGGTGGCCATCCGCTGTTTTTTTGCGGCGAGGCGACGTGGCCAGGCGGCCACGCCTGACGCCCGACAGGCCCCCCCCCCAAACAAAAACGAGTCAAGGGAACAACCAGGAGAACCAATACAAAGATCTGCTCAGAGAATCCCTGCCATCCCAGCACTACTACACGCACGCCAGCAAAATATAGCTGGTTCTGAATGGGAGACACCGCCGCGCTGCAAATCACGGGGCGATCTCCGCGCCGCAAGATGACTGCAAATTCCGGGGCAAGCGCGGTACC